CATGAATTTGTCGTCTGTTTATTTATCATTCTACATCAGAAATTCATCACGGATACAGTGAAAATGACATTTCACTCAGGATTCGCACATTACATACACTGGGTATTATTTAGAGGTTAATTCAATTTAAATTAAAAAGTTTGTAAAATTGACATTTCTGTTCTTTTGGTGCGTGTCGATGGTGGACACTGAAGGTTCACATATTATTTTTTTCTATTTTTAGTTTTAGTTTAAAATATGTCAGGCATTTAAATGTATTAACTAATTAATGGTTTATAAAGCCGAATTGTTTTCTTTAAACCTTTGTTTAATCGGATCAAATCAACAATGCCTATAGTTGTTGTCTGCTGCTTTTATTATTAAGTTTTATAAATAACATGATAAAATGGATATAAATACGTCACAACGAGAGTAAACAAACAACTAACAACTTTTATCGATGCTTTTCATTACCTTGTATGGGTTAGAGTCAGAATAGTTTGAAATGTATGCGAATTTCCTTGTCTATTGGAATACGTAGGGCTGGCATGTGGCTTTTAATTCGTATAGTTGGTTTATATGTACGTAGATAAGATTTTTAATTCCCTTTTTTAATCCTATTTGAGTCTATTTCTTACCTGTATTTGCAAGAGGGGTCAACATGGGACAATCAAAACCCGTCGAGAAAAGACTGACAAAAACAGGACAAAAAGAAAACAGACGAATAGCCAAACTCAAATTATAATATTACACTGAAAACTAAAGTTTGAGCAAGACTACAAATCCAGTTAATACTTAAAAATTCAAAATCAAATTTATACGTTTTATAAAACCCTTTCCTGTGTTAACTTTTCAGTGTCGGAACTTCCGTGGTATTTTGTTTTTTTTTTTGTTTTGTTTTTTCATAATATAAACTTTAATGATTAACTTTAAGTAACGATAAATAAAATGTTGCAATAATGAGAATTCAGTTTAGAACAGTCATTTTGGACATTCGTGTACATATGAATATGGTTTCTTTTGATTTTGAATACGTCACAGTTGTACAAAAGCTATAAATATTCAATACTTTTTCATATTTGTATTAAGTTTTATAAGTAGACGTATTTAAATGGTCAGCACATGGATGCAAACGTAAACGCAACCACGAAACTAATACACGATAATGATTTATGGCCCCTTCTGTAGGCTTGTGTATTACGAAATTTTTAAAGTGCAATTATATCAAAACAGCAAAAAAACTGAATAAAAGATACATGCTATTTTGAACATATACCAAATGGAAACGTCTTTAACCGCAACAACATAGATTTTTTTTCTTTGCATTTAATAGAAAATGGGAAGTTTGTGGCAAATCAAACCAACATTTTTTACAGAAAAATCCATAGGCTTATTACAGAAGTTTTCGTTATAACACGTTAAACATATATTACTCACTTGTTTGTCCATGTTGCGCTAGCGTTTAACTTTTACAAAGTCATTAAAAAACTTTTACAATCCAAAACACCTCATGCTGAGTCACTAAAGTCGAGCGCACCCTTGAAGAGGTACTTGAATATATCCATATTTGTGCTTGTTTTAACTAATATCTTTATTTAAAAACTTGTTTTTATGAAATCATTGCTAGCACTCAATTACAGGCATGTGAAAAAAAATCACCTATTGTGTTATATTAAAGTATATAGATGATTTTTTTTAGAGTCAAGTGCCTGTATACATAATCCTCAAATAAATTACTTGCTCAGATTGTCTGATTCCATCAGTTGCTAGTTTTTATGAACAATTTTGCATGGCATGTACAGAAAACTTATCATCTGTGCTGATCAAGATTCAGCATAAATTGTTCGGCTAAATTTAAATATATATACGATAAATAAATACACAAAACTTCGATTTTTTTTAATAAAATGTACGGTACAACTGTTAGATGTGAGGTATGATGATCGAGGCCAAAATATTTGAAAATCCATAATGTAATACAAACGTTGAAAAGTTGATAAAAAAAAACGCGATAAGCCAAACCCGGATAAGGAATCAGAGCTATGCACCAGGAAAATTCCTTAATTATCCATATGCTCATGCCAGTACCGAAGTGTACTATACTTGGCTGTTGATACCCTCTGGAACTAACAGTCCACCAACAATGGTAGTAATAAAAGTTTACTACACCAGAAGCACATTATTTCACCAACCGGAATTTTGATTTAACAAGTTTTAAAGACATATCAATGTAAAATATTCCAATAAATATGTATAAATCAATGACAATTTTATAAGCAGGCATAAAATTAGAAACTGAACACTTCTTGCCTCCACACACTGCCTAGAAATAGTCTGATTTTAGCCCCTATCGAGTAGCTATGTTTAAGGGAAAGCAAAATCGTTCTTTGAGGTAATTCATTATACGTGATTGATTGGTGAATGTTAAACGCCCACTGGCAAATATTACATATAAAAAAGAAGATGTGGTATGATCGCCAATGAGACAACTCTCCACAAGAGACCACATGACACAGAAATTAACAGCTATAGGTCACCGTACGGCCTTCAACAATGAGCAAAGCCCATACCGCATAGTCAGCTATAAAAGGCCCCGAAATCACAAATGTAAAACAATTCAATTGAGAAAACTAACGGCCTAATTAATGTACAAAAAAATGAACGAAAAACAAATATGTAACACAGCAACAAACGACAACCACTGAATTGCAGACTTGGGACAGGCACATACATACAGAATGTAGCGGGGTTAAACATGTTAGCGGGATTCCAACCCTCCCCCAACCTGGGACAGTGGTGTGACAGTAAAACATAAGAACGTACTATAAAAATCAGTTGAAAAAGGCTTAACTTATCAGATGGACATACATATTCGAACGATATTTTATTGTGTGAAAATTCCATAAATGTAGGGTGCCCAGTGTCAAAAAAGGCCTCTAAGACTAGTTAACAGAATAAACCACGGCCAAATTCATTTGCAAATTATAGGAAAATCAGCATAGTATTTTACAATTACTAGTATGATTGTTGTCGTAACTTCCCGTGGTCACGATTTTCTAACTTTCGTGTTTTTACAAGGCATCCCCAGATATCGTGTTGTATATGGAATGTTAAACAAGACTATTAAAATAATTGCGCTCATTGTTGGTGGTTGAAATAGTACTTAGAATATAGTTTATATATTAGATATATCATATAACAAAAGCGGAAAATATTTCAGTTAGTTTAGTATTTCAGCATTTCAATAGGACTAAAATTTCACCGAAATTTACCGAATTTTCATCGAAAGCAAAATTATTACGTGTATCATCACAAGATTAATGTTCTGATTAAAGCAATAACACACAATTCACGTGTGTGCCAAATTTCATGTGTGTAATATTTGTCGTTGTTAACGTCTCCTCGGAGACGTTATTAAGAATTGAATGAAGGACAGTCAGTGCGTGAATGCTTCTTACTACCTGATTGGAAGATATTACGAGACGTGAATTATCAAAGTTTGTTGATACGTTAGGACAATCCAAACCTAGTAAATGTCTTTCAATCCCGTAGAGTATCGGATTTGTCCTCTCTATTTTAGCAACTAGATTTTGCCTGGTCATTAAGCATGCATATTCATGATATTGGTACACAGGTAACTTTTATCTATAAATAGCCGAATCTTCTGGAGTTTTGTAAACACACACAACGCTAAACGATATACTAGTTCATAACGTGTGACCTCACGTGTGTGGTAAAATTTGTTGATTGATATGCAAGGCTATTCTGAATGAATTAATCTACAAAGCGAGAACACTTTCCATTTTCATCCGCTAAGAGACGGCTAGCCTTTTTTTGAAAAGCTATTACTTGTGAAGGATTAAGAAATTGAGTCAACATTATTGCACTGATACATCACGGATTATCTCGTACCGTTACTCATTTTATTGCTTAGACTATTAAGTCATTAACTAGGACATTTGTCACTAAAGGTGCATTGCTCATTCTTGCTTGTTGTATGGTTGATTTATTTGTTTTTTGAATGGTCATTTATAGTTGGTTATTTAAAAGTGTGCACCACATTTTTTAAGTTATTTCAAATAGACAGAAAAAATATTACAGTAATTCCTTATAATTTAATTCCAAATTCCATTTTTAAGAAGTAAATCATGAAAAAAATGTTGATGACGTCACAGTCAAATGACAAAATTATGTGTATGAGATGATAGACAAAAACCTTTCAGCTAATCAGAAGACGTGTAACATCCAAAATTAAATTATCTATTATTATTATTAACATTCTCACATAACAGATTTTTGAGTATTTGTGATAAAAATTGTCTTAACTGTACAAATTGCACTTAACAACCATAATGCCTATGTTCAAATTCTTAAAAAAAAATATTCCTGACAAAAATGGAATGATATATTGACAATTATGTTAACCAAATGACAAATTATCCTCAGAGGAAATATTCAACGATGAACATATTTTCATTTCACTTAGTTTGCTGTCACGAAATCATTAATTGTTTTTAAAACAACAGGTAGTTAAATGTCTTATTCTATATCCTCTAAAGAGTTCAATTATTTGAATTATTATAACATTCTTAACAGAAAATCGTAATATGCTAAGTCTAATGGTTTGGTTAGAAAGAAGAAATTATTTACAAAGAAATCAAAACCATATCCTGAATTCATCACTAGCCTTTATGGCAAGTCTCTTATCGTGTCATTAAATTTAGAGTAAAGTTTCCAGTTCCCTTAATTTCTAGTGCAGTTCAACTGGATACAGTGAAAACTTGAGCATAAATAACAAAACAATACAGAAACAGAAAACAATCGGAACACTGTAATAACTTCGAGTTTTTTCTTAATCCTTGGGATACATCATTGTTGCCATGGCACTCCAAACAATATGTGAATATAAAACCGAGAAACATAAATCTGAAATCGATTTTCCTTTTTACTGAATAGTTGAACTGTATAGCCTTTATGTTCTTCAATTATACATTTAGTAGAAAAAACATATATCTTACACATTTTTATTTTTTTTTTTTTTTTTTATATTTAACTGTGATCAAAAAACACTTTTAAAAATTGCAGTCTAATCTCAATGCAATTCGCTGTCTTGTTAGTATTTTTGACGTAATAACTTGAATGTGCTCTTTGTCGCCGATCTTTGTTATAGTAAAGGATTCGACAATCACAACATATAGTCAACTTTGATCCTATGCAAAGGTTATTACAATCTCTTCCTGTTCCTAATATGAGAGATATTTTTACAGTGTGTTTTCCTGTTCTCAGTATGAACAATATCGTTATGTGTTACAGTGTAACAGATTTTTAGTCGACAATTGTGTCCTGCTTAAGGCATATGGGAAATATTTCAGAAAACATACGTCATCAACACAGCGCATAGCAGTAATCATCCTCTTGATAAATTTGAGAATTTGTGTATCTTGAAGACTTCTTTAAGTTTTGCTTATCTTTCCTTTACATTAATGTCTAATACTGCGGTGGTGGTGCCCCATAACCTCCGTAAGCTGGTGGAGGAGGAGGTTGTGCGTAACCAAACGGTCCCTGAGGAGGAGGGGGTTGTGGGTAACCAAACTGTCCTTGGGGAGGAGGTGGGTATGCTATATTCTGTCCTGGTGGTGGGGGATAACTGATCCCGGCTGGCTGATTTGGAAATGATGGCACTGGAGCTGAAATACAAAAAAAGAAAGAAGTAAATTAATTGTGTTAAGAAGAAATAATTTGTGTTTGACTTGACTTTACTTAAATGAAAGACAACAATCTAAAATATTACAAAATGAAAAAAAAACATAAAAAAATAAAACGGTATTTTGACTTCTAAAACTCTGTGCCAAAGACAATTATTCACACAAAAATAACGAAAAACATAGTATAATCAGAAAATAAATTCAAGAACTGTTTTTGCGTGGAATCCTTACAAAAATGTTTGAAGAAGCTCATATATTCCAACACCGGCATTAGTATTGGTCCAGCGTACAAAGGAATTGAATAAAGCGTGTTGCAAATGATGTTATTAGCTAGTGTATTACATACGTGGAGCCTGGACAGTAGCTATTCTTATCGTCGGATGTACAACGGTACCTCTGTTCCCACTGGTTTTCACCTGCTTGCATACAACCACAAAAACTATAACTCCAAAGATAATACAACCAATAACTATCCCTGGAATAGCACCAGCTGGACTGGAATGTACAAGCGTATGGTTACCAGTCTGATTATAAGATACATGTATATGCTCTATTTATGCCAAGTTAAAACACCTAGGTATCTAAAACATGTTTTTCTGTTGGTTTGCATTAACTCACGGCCTTCATTTTTTTTTTTAAATGAGAATTGTTTTTCTAGTTTCTAATTTGTCTGTTTCAGCTTACTATGGAAGCGCATATAGTACACCCCTTGTTAAGTTATTTTGTTGCAAATAAGTCGGAATTATTAGTTATGTTGTGTGTTATAAGCTGGAATCAAATCATCATGTGGAGTCAACTTGTCGGAATGATGAAGAAAAATTGCATTACAATGTCGACTTGTTAGAATAAATGTAATGACAAAGTAATAAGAAGTCGACATGTTGAATTCAACTTGTTAACTGATTAAGTCGACAACTTGTTTATTTGATGATGAGGTAAAACCACGTGACCTGTTTGGAAAAACATAGGTCTATTTTTAAATCGACTTCCATATCAGTCGATTGTTTAATGTGCTTCGGATGTGTGTCGCTAGCCATTGAGTTCAAGTTCAAATTAAAGTTCGAGTTGATGTTCAGAGCTATTTTGGTATGGAAAGGGGAACGGCAGTCAAACATCAGAAAAAAGTACTAAAAAATAACAATATTTCGGACATAAGGGGGATATACCAACACTACTGAGTCTAATAATAATTCCGATTTATTTGCAACAAAATAACTTTACAAGGGGTATACCATATGCGCATCCATAGCTTACATTTCACGAAAACTTTTAATCTCCTCAGTTTTGACAATTAGAAGAAATCATTAGCTTGCAGCAAACTGGCCATTTCAATATAATATGTCATCTGACAGTGTTGATGTAAATGGACAGTAGATAGAACTCTACATTTTGAACATTTTTGCACCCTTTCGTATTTTCTCTATTTATAGCGGTTTTCAAGATAAAAGACAAAACTTGCATTTTACCCCTATGTTCTGTTAGCTATATCCAACATGTTGGTCGGCAGGCTGAGTTATAGGACACATTTTTAAAACTAAATGTCCAGATAATGATTGTGACCAAGTGAGTTTAAATTTGGCCCAGTTGTTTCAGAGGAGATTATTGTAAAAGGATGGTGACGACAGGGGTGGCATAAATGGATAACGGATTGATCTGGGTGCATGGCCGCTCTGAAAAACCTGCAGCAATATGGCGGCGAAAAAACTGTTTCCTATTTTCTCTGGTATATTCATATAAAATCTTTTCTTGAGATTCAAAAATATACATTTGATCGCATTTAATTTTACTCGAACAAAACCTGATCTGTAATCGAAAAGAAAAAAAATGGACTGATTTACACGGTAAAAAGCGATCCCATCAGAAAATTTATATACTAACTGTGATGTTGGTCGGAAAACAAACTAGCATCACACCGGTTTTTGGTGGGGTTCATCTTGTCCAGTTTTTAGTTTTCTATGTAGTGTTTTGCGTACTGTTGTTTTTCTTTTCGTCGTTTTTCGTTTTTTTGCCATGGCATTGTACGTCAGTCTATTTCGATTTATGAGTTTAAATATCCCTTTGTAATCTTTCGCCTCTCTTTAAAATGTTTAGTTGACGTATTACATGTTTCGTTATAAAAACAATTCATCTTGTCATGAAAATGTTCTCCATCACAAAAAGTCCTCAAGTTTTGTACGCTATGTTGTTGTAAAATAGTTATTCGTAATAAAGAATACTTTTATACCTTTGTAAAATATACTCACAATGAATAAGAGGAATCACAATAGTAGTAGGAGTAGTAAGCGCTGTAATAACAGTAGCCGGCTGTGACTGGTATAACTATATACGAATATAAAACATAGTCATGATCATGATAAAGTTGATGGCTGTGACTGGTATAAATATATACGAATATAAAACATAGTCATAATCATGATAAAGTAGATGGCTGTGACTGGTATAAATATATACGAATATAAAACATAGTCATAGTCATGATAAAGTAGGTGGCTGTGACTGGTGTAACTATATACGAATATAGAACACAATCATAATCATGATAAAGTAGATGGCTGTGACTGGTATTATATATACGAATATAAAACATAGTCATAGTCATGATAAAGAAGCTGGCTGTGACTGGTGTAACTATATACGAATATAAAACATAATCATAATCATGATAAAGTAGATGGCTGTGACTGGTATAAATATATACGAATATAAAACATAGTCATAGTCATGATAAAGTAGGTGGCTGTGACTGGTGTAACTATATACGAATATAAAACAAAATCATAATCATGATAAAGTAGGTGGCTGTGACTGGTATAACTAAATAAGAATATAAAACATAATCATAATCATGATAAAGTATAGGTGGTTGTGACTGGTATAACTATATACGAATATAAAACATAATCATAATCATGATTAGAGTAGCTGATACTATTCTATATTGTTAGAACATTTTACTGGTAGAACTAAACAGAACCTGGTTCTTTAATATATAGATATATAACTCTCAGGCGCAAATATTTCATGCAAATCCTAACATTAAACATAATTCAAATATAAACATTTTTGGAAACAAGTTTGATCAGAGGTTTCCCATAACAACCTGTATGATTTGAAATGAGACAACTTTCCACCAGTGAGCAAAAGACATAGAGGTAAGCAACATTGGGTCACTGCAGGGCCTTCAATAATGAGAAAAACCAATACTGCATAGCAAGCTATAGACCCTGACCTGACAAATGTAAACAATTCAAACGAGAGAACTAGCGGCCGGTTTCATGTATACAAAACAATAAACTGAAAATACATAAATTTTAAAATTTTAACACAAGTGGAATTGTTCATCCATAAAGTAATGTATATCATAAAATAAGACTGCAACTCCCACAAGGTTTGGCTGTCCTGTTTGGGCCATTTTAACTTATGCTCAAACTTTTTGAGTGTTTGTGTTTCCAACCAGTGGTCTCGACCTTACCTGTTGAAGTTTATTACAGAACATGTGCTACGCATAGGGAAATCATACCATACGTTTTTATCAACTTTATCAAGATTTTAAGGACATCTTCTAAATTTATTAGAATTATAAATCTTATGAACATAAAAATAATGTGTAAAGTATCACTTGGTTTAAGATCCTACAAGTAGAAATATACTTCAATAATTGCCTATATGTTTGATAAATCTTATTAAAGAGAGGCGAAAAATACCAGAGGGACATTAAAACTCATAAGTCGAAAATAAACTGACAACGCCATGGCTAAAAAAGAAAAAGTCAAACAGACAACAATACACAAAACACAAAATAAAAAACTAAAGACTGAGCAACACGAACCCCACCAAAAACTGGGAGTGATCTCAGGTGCTCCGGAAATGGTAAGCAGATCCTGCTCCACATGTGGCATCCGAAGTATCCCCAATTCTGTGTTCCCGCAAGTAATCTGGTTGACAACGTTATCTCCCAAGATGACTATTCCAGTTTCATGGTGCATTATTCATTTTAGAATTCGACAAATGCTTTTTTTAAATTTAGTTTGGTAGTTGCTTCTTACAGTAAAATTGCAAATGTGTATTGTATCTGTATACATCATCAGTACACAATATAAAACTAGACAAAGTGATGCCCCCGCACTTCATTCTACAGTAACTGTATTATAACAAAGTCAATGTAGGACTTTCTTTGAGATATTATTGTGTCTGGGAGACACATTTGATGCCCCCGCAGATGCAAAGTGTTATTTTAAAATAACTATAACATTTAACCGTTTATACCCCAAAAATGACAAAGTTCAACTATCTCCCTAAAGAGCAAATTTTAATAAAAATAAAACCCTGACCACATGCACACTTTAATATATGTACAAACAGCCAGCAAAGTGAAAACTTCCTAGCAATCAAACTGTTGGAGGAGTTATCTGGAAACGCTCCTCTTATGCAAGTAAATACTCCAAAAATGACAAAGTTCAACTATATCTCCCAAAAGAGCAAATATCAATAAAAGTCAAAACCCTGACCACATGCACACCTTCAATATATGTACAAACAGACAGCAAAGTGAAAACTTCCTAGGATTCAAACTGTAGGAGGAGTTATGCGGAATAACTATATACCCATAATGGGACGGACAGAAGGACGGACGGACGGACGGACAGGGGTAAAACAATATGCCCCCAAATTTTAGTTGCGGGGCATAAAAAACAAGTACATAATTATATATAAAAATAAGATGTGGTATGGTTGCAAATGAGACAACTATCCACCAAAGTTCAAATGATGTGAATGTAAGCAATTATAGGCACCCGTACGGCCTTCGACAATGAGAAAACCCACACCATATAGTCTATAAAAGGCTCCGACATAAAAATACGAAACAATTCAAACGGCCCAATTTATTACAAAACAATTTACGAAAAACAAATATGGCAGACAAGAACCAATGACAACCACTGAAATAAAAGCTCCTGACTTTGGATAGACACATAAAGAATATGGCGGGGTTAAACGTTTTTGAAGCCGCCAACCCTCCCCTAACCTGGGACAATGATGCAACGGCACAAGATAAGAACAAACTATACAAAACAATAAAGGAAAAACAAATATGAGAAACAGCAATAAACGACAACCACTCAATTAAAGGCTCCTGACTTGGGACAGGCACATATAGAATGTGGCGGGGTTAAACATGTTTGCTGGCGCCAAACCCTCCCCCTCATGTGTAACAGTACAACATAAGAACAAACTATAAAAACAAATTGAAAAATTCTTCACTCATAAGATCTATACAATGAAGAAAATTATTAAAAAAAAAAACACAGACCGGGCGTGGCAGGGTATTTATACACTCTCACAACAACAAAAAGACGACACAAAGAACAGATCTGAGAGTACTCGCAGTTACTGACAGCTAGTTCAAAGCCAATAACAACTAATAGAAAAATCATGTTTCTAAGACTAAAAGACATGTATTGCTTCAAGTTACATTATATGTCGAATGAAGTAAATGTGTCATATTTTTATTATATTCTTTCTAAAAGAAGTTCATTAAGTTTATTTACATTAACATTTATGACATTCTTAGAGTATACAATACAGCATATAGCATACATTATAGTTCCACATATATACCACTGAGCATAATATCCAAAACTACACAAGGTCAACCCTGTCTAAGATATTTACGCCTGAGTTTAAGCAGAATTATAATTCTGATATACAAATCACGGGGGTAATAAAAACATAAGCCGAAGAAAAGAACATATTAAAAACACAGAATTGTAAATCCCAAGTTGTCTCCCTTAAACCGATTTTGATATTGACTTGACTTCGCTATGAAGCAATTTTCCAATATTTTGGCGAATCCAGTCGTCATTTCGTTCTCAAGATTACTTTTTGTGATAGTGAATGCCAGGTCTTGTGACACTACCGAGAGTGAACTCATGTACTCCGGAATGATAAGAAGTTTACACCCATAATGTTGAGAATGGCAAGTAAGCGTGGGTGATGCATTGTATTCGGTGGTGTCCAAATTAAGAAAAAGATGAATGGATTTGGGCTGCGACAAGTGTGGTCATCTGTCACAAATATTCCATACGGTCAACTAAACCGTAATTGCATCCGTGAAACTTTCGAAGGATCGAATGACTTCAATTTACCGATTTCGAACTCTTGGTTCAATATCTTTTTTTTTAACAGCCCTATATGAAGGAAGTCATGAAAAGAATTGACGCCCTAGTATTTATTTACTAGTACACTATATGCAGGCGCTGCTGAAATTTTACTACATAGAAATCGAAAGTTCAAAATGAGAAAATTGAAATCCTCTTTTTTTCGTAAGGTTTCAAATAAATCCCAGATAGTGTGAAAGCTTAACCACTTTTAACCTTCAAAGATTAACATTCCACGAGAATTGTATTGACATAGTGATTATAAAGAAAACGTGTCATTCACTGTGTTTGAATGTGTCAAACAAAATTAAATAAGAAAGTCATTTGGGAATAAATGTGTATGAAATAATTTACCTTCATTTAGTATACAGAGTGCTAAAATGAGTATCCAAATAAAATCAGCCATTTTACACGTATGGCAAAAACTTCACGGTGGTCAAGCTCGGCATATATTTCACTGTTTTGTTTTGTACATATTTTTTTACAATGCAAGTTTATACACGATTAATTTAAAACCAAAACATTAAACTTATTGTGAGACACAATTGAATTAAAATGATTTAATGTAATCATGATTTCATTTATTATGAAAAGTTCATTATGCCTATTGTAAGGACTTCTTATATAATACATTGTCACATGTTAATTAAATTTATTTGGAATGTCATAAAATCGCTTACTTAATTCAAATTTTTAATTGATTGATTGGAACTTATTTGACGTCTCATTGCAAATATTTTATGCATATCCTAGACGAGAACATCAATGAAAAATAAATATAAAAGTTTGTCTCTGTAAAGTGGGTCGACTGGAATGCAGGGTAGGCACTTAAAATCGCCACAGGCAAAAGGACGGAATGTTGGACAGTTAGATTTGTAAGGATTCTGTACCGTGCATTTTGCTCACACGGTGAATCAGACTAGCCGTCCCATTTTGACCGAAAGTGAATGCGTATTTATACATCCCAGGGTCAAAGGAAGTTGGACGCCATTATCGAGTAGGGGTCGTATCTCTCCAGCAAGAGGAATGGAAATAATTGATATACCCTTGGGAACTGCTGGGGTGTACAGTTGTTGGAAAACCGTAGGAAATATTAAAATACACATATATTATCATTTTGATCATTGAAATGACAAGTAAAACAAACACTTTGAAAGTCTGTATGTGTATTGTCAACAACAGAGAGAGCAGTTTAAAGCGTCAATGGGAGTCCATCTGTGGATACTGAAATTTTTCCATTTAGGAATTTTTTCCAGGAATTTTCAAATGTCTTGTATCAAACGTCTCTGACAAAGCGGATGCAGGATAAGATTTGTTGTTACCCAGTCCATTGTAATGCATGATACCATGACCCTATATTACATAAAGGGGGGTAACATCTTTCTCCCGAATATTTGTTTAAAAATAAAATAATTCTGAGCTATTCATCACAGAAGTTTAATAATTGAAGTAATAAATAGTTCGTGAGATATTTATTTAAAATCCAACAGAGCATCATACAGTTCAAATCTGTTTTTCATTCTCCTACTTTGTAAAACATTGTTGAAGTACTTGCACCTTCGTGTCAACTTGTTTTATTTTCCTAAACTTTATTTTTAATGTCTCGATCCTCGCTGTGATTAACATATATTCGAAGGTAGCAAGAAACTCGATGGTTGTCTAAGACATTTGGAAACAGTCTTCCAAAGGACGAATTGACATGTGTCATTATATGTTTGAGATAAATTTTCTTTATTAAATAAAATACCATGTGCCCGGAGGGCGATCAGATTAATTATAAGTTTCATTATTGATTTGTCTTTTATATATATTTCTTGGCTTGGGTCTATTAATTTGTTCCGTAATTATCTCAGGTAATAGTATTCTACAAAACATGTTTAAAAAGAGAAAAGATAAAAAAAAAAAAAACAGAACGTAAATATAAGATGCAAATGAACAATTTTCTGTAAATAAGCATAAAAAAGCCATTGAGTAAAAAGATGAATGTTTTAAAAAATAGTAAGTCTAAAGAATTTTGGGGGATATTGAACTCGTATAACTGAGAGAGAAAAAAGGACTAATATTCCTGTTGACATACTTTTTAAATTTTTTGTAACCGGAGAAGAAAAGAAACCTCCTTTTATACTGTACTACAGTCTTGTTACTGTTAGTTACAATGGACACATAGCTTGGTGTAAGACTGTAAAATCTGTGCTTGATACTTGTGGACTATCAAATTTATGGAACAATAATTACATGAAAACAATTTTACCAATTCAAGTGGATTCAAAAGATATGTAAAATCCATTTATGAAGAAATTGGTCTTTGATATATATAAAACGAACAATTAGATGTAAATTTGTTGAAAATTTCACAGTTGAAGAACAATTTACAGATCGTTCTAGTACCATCGGCATTTGTTCTCACAGATATGAAGCTCATCCAGGGTGGCTATTGTGATTTATTCAAGTGCTAGTTTGGTATGACCTGAACTTTATTTGTTCCAAAGTTATAGTTGTTCTGTTCATTTTGTTTATTTCATATGATTATTTATGTGTTATAATGCGGTCTAAGATAAGAGTACGACATACATGTGTTTTACACACTTAGCCGTATTCCTGCAATTTACCTTAATTATTATGGTTTATATCCGTCTTTATATTCAAATAGTGCGCAACAAAGAATATAGATAAAGGGACACTCATTGTTAACTACCAAAAGCTACTCTTGAGAAACCTTTGATAAAGTGATAATTGTTTTTAATTCATAATCCCCACTTTTGGCAAAACTTGAAAATATATTTTTGTAACTTTATATTTTTATTGGTCAGATCCCACTTGTCAATCAGATTTTGAATTTTATTTTATAATTACTTTGTGTTTGTTGTTTGATAATGTTGTTGATTGTTGAAATATACTAATGTAAATAAAGTATGTAATCTTTCTAGCAACAAAGTCGACAAACGACTCGACCAACTACGATTATTACCCAAGGAAAGATATATTTCTAAACTCGAAGTTATCTATTGCGACTGGAATATGGACTGAGATTGCGTGAGACGATATCATTTGTACTATCAAGTTCAGAAGAAGTTATTACTTTTGGTAAATGCCTTTTATACTGTACTATGAATTTTTGTTTTATCTGTTCGGTCTCGCCATATCTTATCTATGTTTAATCTCCTTGTACATCTGGTAATCTGCTTTTGAGCCAATTGGCATTTTATTTGCACCAACAGAAATCTATCATTTGCGCCTCAAACCATATTTCATTTGCGCCAAAGTATTACATTTCATTTCTACCAATGATACTGGTAAATAGTATAAATATCAGGCCTATATTGAAATATTGTCATTAATATTTAGATATGAGCCGAGGCCTTACCCAAAAAGATGTTTGTTTATTTGTAACTGTGAAACATTATTTGAAAAACTCGCAGTCGCATTAAATACGCAACAGGAGTACATGAATATGCAATATTGATACAGAAATACAATGACATAATAATACAATACATACACAACAATACAATAGCGTAACACAAAACAAAAATAAGAAGAATAGTAAATTAATTATACTGTTTAAATAAAAAGTAGTGCAGATATACAGCTGCATTGTAAACAGTGTTTACAAATAGTTTAATAAAAAAAAAATTCCATCAAATTTTTACTACAATCGTTTAGCTTCTGAGGGGCTGCCTACCCCAGCCCCCTGCTTACAATTTAATTTCCAGTGACTATACCACTGATAACGATTTATATAAATCCTGTATACAGTTGATGTAAGTTATAGTTTGGACATTATGGGAACGTTGCACAATGATAATAACCAAACATCTTATGTACTGATGGGTTAGTAGTGTAGTAGGTTGGAATGTATTTGTTGCGTAATAGAACTACTAATATATCATTCTGGTTACACACAAATAGAAAATGCATTTCATCTCCAACCATATTTTGACAGTGTTCATGTCTGGGATTCAGCATTAGCCCATCTGCCGGTTTCAATGGGAAATTTAATATTGGATGTACGCAATTTACATATGATATGTCTATTTCGTTTAACTAATCTGAGACAGTATGGTCACAGTCTACAATTCTGATTTAAATTTTGAATACAGTTCACCCCTTGATGAGTTGTGAACTTGGGTGTACCAATACTGGATAGATTGGTATTGTAATCTTTGTTTAATGGTATGTTTAAAAAACTCAGGATTGATGCCCTCTTGGTTGTACCATATATTACTAAATCCTGTGTCATCAAAACTACTTTTAATATAAGTAACCCATTTAAAGTCTGTATTGATTTCTTGAAAGAGTTTATACATTAACCTGTACAAGATGCAAGTTGGTGTTTTACGCCAATTTCAGTGCCCTATTGCGGAGTAGCAGTAAAAAATATTTTCAAAGTGTAGTGGTATGAAAAAACTCATCTTAGGTATCAGGTTTATAATTTGGCATGCAAGATGCGCGTTTCGTCGGTATAAGACTGATCAAAGAAAAGGCAATAGTTGTCCTCTCAAATCAATGACTGTATTAATTGTAAAATAAGGGGAATATATTGAGCACGATGTGTCTAATCTATCTAAAGTGTGTTTGTTGCTTGTTATTGTGGAAATAGTGTCCAATCACATCATAGTTACTGTGTATATTGTGCAAATAGTGCCCGATTACATCATAATAACTGTATATTTGCAACAAAACCAATACCGTTTTAATGTACTGGAATTCGATATAACAACGACTTAAAATATTTTTCTTATTTAATAGCTGTAATAAGTATATTGCACAAGCATTGTAAAAAATTTTAAAAAGTCTTTCTCTTTCTCTCTCTCGCTCTTGCTCTCACGTTTCTCTCGACGTTGTATTTTTGTCTTTTTCCTGAAAACGTTTAATAACATAACTTTCCAAAGCAGTATGTTACACAGTCACCGGTTGCTCAGTTGGTTGTTCGGTATTCCTGTTGTTAGTACGTCTGGTATATCGCGGTGGTTGTCCTGTAATGGAAAATTGTTTTTCATGAATGTAGGTTTTTATTACTCTGTGTTAGTATCTCTAAGAATACAAGAAATGGATAGTATGAACACAACATTGGGAAACATACAGATGTATCCAATTGAAGGTCATTTGTTCAATGTCATTCGGAAATATATAGATGTATTCAAATGAAGGTCATTTGTTCAATGTCATTCGCAAATATATAGATGTATTCAAATGAAGGTCGTTTGTTTAATTTATCCTTTAATGTATCAAATGGATCACAGACTCAAATGACCGAGGTGCACAGAATGTTTCCTAATAAATGGAGAATGGTCCACGATAGACACTATATATATATGGAAATATAAATTAGGAAAACGGGGTAAAAAAATTGAACAACTCTATAATGGAAGGTGCACAACCTAAATTGGTTTGGGTGTGAAGTTCAAAAGATCTGGGTAAACAAAATCGGTACCATCTTTTGAAAACTTTGCTGAAAAACGACTTAGTGTGGAAAAATGGGGCAAATTTCTAAAATAGTTCCATCAAAGCAGGTGCACAACACCAATATATGTGCAATCATCCTGTGAAACTTCAAGAATCAGGGTTAAAAAAAGAGGAGTTGATTACACAAAATAGTTACTGTCCTTTTGCAAATGTTGCAAAAAGAGGACTTAAGTTCAAAAGTTCGAAAAAATGTGCCAAAATCCACTAACAGTTCCATAAAAGCAGGTGCACATCTTTAACATATGTGCAACCTTTCTGTGAAGTTTCAGGGGTCTGGGTTGAAAGCTTAGGATGAGTTGATTACACAAAATAAGAACCTACCATTCCCGCCTGCAAACCCATCCGCCATCACCATATATACTATAATCTAGTTTTGGACTTCGTCCAATCCAGTCAGCGATGGTGTATTCGCAGGACTCTAGTTAAAGTCAGCGTATCTCGTAATACGTTTTAAAATCTCTAAAATGGCATGTTAACTTTGTGCAATGTTTACCTTTTGAATGCACATATCGTTTTGGATGATTTATATGTCGAAATAATGTAAATATTAGTAAATATTACTAAATTATAAACATTATTATTTATATATGATATAACTTTAAAGAATAATGCCATTTTTTTTTGTGTGTATTATATATGTGATTTAAAAATGACATGATTTTCATTAGTTATGTTTTAAGAATCGATATTTTTCAAATTTAGATTAGTAAATGTAAGTATATTTTCTATACCCTTTCAGCCAGTCTTTTTCTTAATAAAATGGATGAAATTAGATTAACAACTGGTTGCACACGATTCAAATAGTCAACCCGTATGTAAATATTTTGAAAATTTGCCGTCACCTGAGCGTCCCAATGGATTAGTTGATACTGTTAAATCATGTATCAGATTGTCACCATTTTCCAACATCCGTATATGTGAACAAGCAAGGAGAATAACAATGACGATCAAAAGTATTGCCACTATTCCACCAATTACCATGCCAACAATGGTCCCTGCATCGCTGAAATGAGAAAAATAAGTCAAAAATGAAAATAACAAGTGATAGCTTTGTAAAAAGGTATACAGTGATCTGCAGTATCATAAATCAGGTCTTGTATACCCATGCTGTAATTGTATTCCTTATCTTCCGTATTTAATATCTTTTCCTGTCCGGGACATGTTCCCAATTCTATATCTTATTATAGCCAACAGAACCTTAGCCACATCATAAGGTAACCAGTAAGAACCGATCTTGTTAAGTAATAATTTCAAAATGGCGTGAATACTGAATGAAACTAATAGTTTCGCATCGTGATACTAAGCAATACCGGAGTCAAGACAAAATACTAAGTTGCATCCGTCAAGAAGAGAACTAATCCTCGAAAAATCAATAGGATTGCAAAAATGCTTACCAGCATGCGTGCGTGTTTATGTGAGTAATATTAGCCAACATGTTAAATTTTAAGATAGAATACAATGATTCTCAGCTTTCGAAAAACTTTCGGCGATTAAGAGAATTATTTAAGTTCGGTAGCAAATTCTTTCCGCGCGTCATACAAACTTTGTGCTTCGTTCAAAGCTTGTTCACCATCACTAAAATTGCAAAAAGAAGCATTTAATTCTTAATTACAACTTGCTTCATATCAAGCTTGGCGTATGATCAATACTGTCACTGCTTGGTTGCAAATCTATACAGTAAAGCGTAGCCCACTTTTTCCAGTCTTACAATTTTATTATAACTCGATGGTTCACTAGAAAATGGAAATGCATAAAGTGTTCTCAAACCAAAATTGTTTCACTTACAGATTGCAAAAGTTCAATTCTTTAGTAGAGTTGCTGCATAATCCGGCCGCACTTTTCACTAGAAAGATATAAAGATATGAATTAATTAACATTATCAGTTATTATCATAATTGTTTTGTAAATGCTTTCGTTATTGACTGCTCAGAACCATTTTCAAAAATCATTCGAATCTTTAAAAGAGTCACTTTGTCACAGCTTTATGAGTGTACTTTGAGGCTTTCCTTAGCAGTGCAAAGAACTGAATAACAATTGACGTAATGCGTATGTTAAATGGTTGAAACATCTCTATTGTAACTGTACCATATATAAACCTTTTAATTTGCAAATCCCGCTTTGTTTCCTCAGTGAAATATGAGAATATCAAAGAAAATGTCCATACCCGAAAATATAACTTCCTCGTGGAAACAACCACAGGTGTCTGTGGACCCCTTTTTCTGTGTTTAATGATTTTTGTGAATGTTCTTTAATATTTCAACCTATTTAACCTTATTTCAATTCTTATTTATATAATGTTACGATAAGAGAGGATAATTAACACGTGTTGTCCCTCTATTATTGTGGATAATACGTGCTGCCCACTATTCTTAGTGTCCGCTCTTATTGTTAGATCGTATAGAAAATAAGTTGCAATATTTTAGAAAATAACAGAAAAATCTAAAAGAGAAAAGGGGTGTCCATTTCCATCGCTTTGGAAACCAAAACTGTTTAATTTTTAGTTTTCGAGGGTAACTACTGCACATCTGACATTTCATGCATGTTCAGGACGAGAACAAATAAACAATAAATACAATAGGTATAGGTCCTGTAATAGATGCCTTCCGGAATGAAGGTCGGGGAAATTTGGACAGCCACGGGAAAATGAGAGTATAATAAAATAAGGACAGAAATTTAGCCTTGCAACAGGCCACCTACAGACCCCTCAAAGAGTTGTTGCAAGGGTTCTTTTAAACGTACAAAGAGTGTGGCACTCTCTTTACACGAGGCATTTGATTTAATGTCCCCATTCAGACCGGACGTGGCTGCGAACTTGTACATCCCGCACAGCCAAACGGACGCCCCACTTTGGCGAGGGTTTTACTGCCGGTCGGAGGAAGACCAATTGTGACCATATTTCTATTCCCAAGTCACCCTTGGGGGTGATTGTCTGACAAAAAGTCGATGTATTTCGACTATTATAAGATATACTTTATTACTTGATGAATCGATATATTTTTCAATGAGTGCTTAACGCCAAGCGGCAAAAATTCCATGCATATTTAGGACTATACAATGTTAATGAGATATTAATGTACCCGTTTTTATACTATACCGACACGCTGTACAAGAATTAGAACGTAGCTCACTAGAAAAATGTTTTCAGGAAACATATAACCCTACTCAGACACATTAATCTGACTCCGAGCATGTATTAAAATTCTTAATTCGGGACGACTTGTACATATTTTCGTACTTGATTTGGCCTTTTAACTTTTTAGATTCGAGCGTCACTGCTGAGTCTTTTGTAGACGAAACTCGCGTTTGGTGTTCAAAATTATAACTTATATCTTTGATTAGTTTTTTTGGTACAAGAGCATTCTAATTTTAATATCTTATCTTTTTTAACTTCTGGTACGATCAATTGAACTGACCATTGCAAGAAAATGTGTGTTTGCACAGGAATGGTTAAATGCTTGAAAAATACGATACAATGAACTCCATACAATATCTACCTTTGCTAAGTCTCGCCTCTCAGTTATTACAATATTTGACTTAGACGGAATCTTCCGCTTTGTTTAGACTTTCCGAATTGCAATAATATGGGTTTTATTCTTTTCTCCAAAAAAAATCAATATATACTGATATATGTACATGCGGAAAAGTACCACCGATATGTTTAATACTGAAGTAATTTTCTATCAAATTCGTCTTTCAAATCGTCTTTGTAAATTAATTTTGATACGTTTAATTTATTTTTGTAAAGAAAGAAAACATAGACCATACAAAATAAACTGTCTTACCATTTGTCAGAATAACACATGAGCACACATACACAATTAGTATCATCTTAACATTTTATTTAAAACCTCACATACATGTACATGTATAGTTATTGAGTACATGTAGATAAATATTGACTTATATAATTTAATGGATGAACTATTTAGAAATGACAAATAAAAAAATCTTTTTCATTGGGCGGCGTCACAGTCCACTTGATTAAGCTCTTTGTAAATAATTACCCTTTTATATTACACAACTAGGTGTAAAACATTGTTTGATATAAAGATTATAATCTTCCGTCATTATATTCTGTAATGTTCTTTGAATACAAAATATTTGTGATAATTTGACTGTTGTAAAATCAAGTATTACCTAATATTATCCACATTCTGTTGGCTAAACACTTATGTTATATATTTAATTACGTCAGTAAGCTTTCAATTGAATGACATATATCTTTATGTAAAAAGATTTATATATGAATTCGTTAGGTACGTATGAACGCATTCTGTCACCTCTGGTAATTGAATACAGTGAGAACGTGTTTGGTGATAATGATGGATGGCTCTTTAACATCCAGTGGCAAATTAAATGCATGTTCAGGACGAGAATATGTTAATGTCATATGAATATGAGACCTGCTTTGTACAGGACCTACTCACTAAGCCAGATGATTAATGCACTAGTTTGTAATGTAACGGTCCACAGGAAGACTTGTCACCCTTACCGTACACATTATTTTGACTCTGGACCGACTAGTCTTTGCTCTTACTCAGTTAAAAATAAACAATTTTGAAGTCTTTGGTTTAACCCAGCCGGTTATTGACCCAGTTATTGGTACTCGATACATAAGGACAAAGTTGAAACTTTGACTTTGACACAAAAACATAAGTCTACTCAATTTCCTCCTGTTTGTACATATTCACAAACAATCACATTTATTCTAGATCGATAGGTAGTGGCTCTTAATAAATCATCAGCCGAGCGGCACAAGATTTCGACATTTTCAACATACCATTGTGTGATAAACATACTAGTATGATAGATATATTTTGAACTTTATGAAGTAGGCTGTTCACAAATATGTTATATAATTTTTTAAAAACACAATAATTTCCGCTTGATAAGGTAGAAACATAACAAGAATTTAGAAAGAGAATGACATTACAAGAAGTAAACCTGACAAACATAACACTGTTTCATTGGTCAAGTATCTCTAGCAATACTATATATTTTTAGCTGGCTAGAATTTGTTACAGATAATTTTAGGAAAATTGGGAAGGTATATTTTTATACAGTAAAAAAAAATAATGCTACAATGTACATAAAACAAAACGATAAAAGAAGTTTATTAGCTGACATTATTTAACACGGGCACATTAAGGGATTGTATTCACGAAGTTTGATCTGATTTATCGAACAATTTCGTTAATGCTTTGCATTGTTTGATATTTTGAGAAATAGTAACACTGAAGCATGATACCATGACGAAATATGATTGTCTTAAACTTACTTTCCGTGTAAGAGGCCACTAAAATGTATACAGAATCTTTGTAAGTTACTCTAAAAATTAGTGATTCTTCTGTCCGATCTAGAAAAGATCACCGCCTCAGCGTATTTATTTATTTATTATCTATTTGTTTATCGTTCATTGCAGAAGTTATCTTATTATAGCATTATTACCCATTGGGAGCTGTTGGGAAAACATGACAACTGCTTCTATTTAGAACCAGCAGTAATATAATGCATAAATGGTGATTTGTTTGTTATTAAAAAATCGTGATTTTGATGCCGATCTAACTGCCAACTTAAACCATGTTTACCATTTGATAATTTTGGCATTATATGTAAACAGCCTCTCTGGAACCGCAAACAGATATGAAGAATAATATAGTTTTACCTAAAATTAATGATTTAATTTGTAATTTGAAGGACATAATTTATTACTTAACTTTATATGTATTTTATACCTTTATTGATTAAGGTCACGAAACAATTACAGACTGACGCAGTTTTGTGAACAGAGGATGCCATCACATTCATTAAAATGTGTGATCTTAGTGACGATCTAAAATCCAAGATGGCCACTACCTAGGAACATATAGTTTTACACTGCCAATACCACATGGGTAATACATGTAAACAGTTTCTTTTCTTTGTCGTAATCAAATTTATCTTATCTTAAAGTTATAAAAAAATAATTCAGTCAATCTCTCAGTTCTGGTGTAGAGATAATATTTGGAGTATATGAAGGAGGTGATATTGCTGGTATACATGACGGTCGGATAGAATGTCCATGCAAGGAACTACTTGTAGCATTAACCGTATGTTCCTGTTCAAAAGTGTTATTATCTATAGATTGGTTAGTCGTATTCGTCAATGGTGGAAGTCTAGTGCTAGGAAACAAGGAACTGTACCTAGGAGGTCCTAAAGGCGGGCGATCAAGATTCACTGAAAAAGAAAGCATAAATATGTAAGCTGCTTCAGTGAACCTCGACAATGTTTATAAATGCCATAACATTTGTTATTTCAGGGGGTCGCAACATCGATCAAGACCAAGAAAGAGGTTATTAACTTTCTGAAAAAGGACCAAAATATCGTTCTCCATCAAAAATTAATTGGAAAGAGTGTCGTCTGGTCAATAAAGATGATCTTGAATCCGATGGTAAAAATTGTTGTAAACGGTAGAAATCTTACCAAAACATCACTTGATTTTTGTTTGAATAAATGTATGAATATTGTGGATATTTGCAAATCACATTTTGAAAATAATTTAAATAAATGGGTTAATAAAACGCCCATTTCTAGAATTAGAAATTTACTTCAAGTACTCGTAAGCGTTTTATGTTCGTACCGAAAAGCATTCACCAATATTGTACTGGTATAACGTATACATACAACACAGAAGTTCTTTAGAATGGGATTATAGATTCTTCTGTTTTCAAGGCCGTGCGCTCAAAAGAGTCAAATAGTAGACAACTATATTATTTAGATATCTCAACTTAATGTCTCATCTGACCATTTGAAGTTCCCGACTATGTATTGACTATACCAAACTACATAATATCATCATAAAGTCCGTCAAATATACTTTCATTTCTGTTTCTAGTAAGTGTTCTGCAAATAATATTTCGGTCCGTTTAGTGAGGGAGGTCGTGGGTTTTTTGGAGAGCACGCTACCACGAAACCACCGAGGCGGATAGAATTATCGAAGAAAATGTTCAAATAAAATGGTAATGATGGATCAACAATTTGCTCAGAATGAAGGTTAAATTGATCATTCAAATCTTGCTCTCTCTGGTGTGCGATCTGGAAAAAAAATAATAACAAATTTTTATAGAAGCAAAATATATATTTAATATTTAGACAAGAAAGTTTGGAGGTGTATGACTGAAGACTGTAGTATACCTGTAATATTAGTTGTATTTCTTTGAACGTCTTCATTTGGTTGTACAGAACACATTTTGGACTTACAGCAAACTACGATAATAAGACATGTAACAACCACTAACATTACACATATACTTCCGAGAACAGCACCTAAAATAGTTCCATCAGAACTGGAAAAAAAGATTGTATAAAACTGTATTATTATTATTAATTATGATTTTCGTTTTTGTTGTTGTTGTTGTTATTATTGTTGTTGTTGTTATTATTGTTGTTGTTGTTATTATTGTTGTTGTTGTTACCATTATAACAGGTTCAGAAACATCGATCATGTGAGGAAACTTTATCATTAGACAAGTTTACTTTACTGCAATGCGGCGAAATAATGATAATTTGTACCAAGGAATATTTTTCTGGAAAGAAATGCTCCCAGGAAATATTTTTCCGAGTAAAAGAAATGATATACGTTCTTTAAGTCATCCTATTTTCATGCGTATAATCTAATTTCCCCTTTGCAGCTAATTGAAATAACTAACAATATAAAAATAAGGAGATGTGGTAAGATTGCCATTTTGACAACACTTTTTCACCAGAGTTCAAATGACGTGGATTAACACCTGGCAGATACTTATAAAAGAAACATTGGTTCAAATAACGCCGGCAATTGTAAAGAAGAGGGTCTTACAATTGGTATAGGCATGCTTATAAGTCGAACGCCATCAAATTAGAACAATTTGTAAATTCTACAAGAAGAACCTATCTGCCATATTTGATTTCGATTGTTGCAATTGTCACAATCGAATCAAAGAAAAATGCGATCTGTATAATCACTCTAAGGAACGTTTTTTTTCAACAAGGTTTCAATAATGTATTATAATGTTTCGTGAAAAGAATATCAAAATATTATTTACGACAGACGCCAGGTAAGTGACAGTAAATGTATTTATATGTTATACCTTGAAGAACTGGTATTTCCTTCGGCACTTACAAAAAGACCTGAAAAAAAGTTGCTGTTATAGTTTAAATATTCGCAAATCTTATTGAAATACGTTGCTACTTTATAAAGATTCCATGTATTGTTTATTGTTTACTATGGACAGGAGTTGGTTTCACAAAAAACTTACGACTAAGATTGGTCGTAAGTATACTGAATTCTTCATGACTTACGATCAATCTTAGTCGTAAGTTTTTTTGTGAAACCGACTCCAAATATTAGTTTTAATATGTGATAAGTCAAATTTAAGATGCTCATTCAATTTTTTGGCGTGATTTTGGCAGCTAATGCCGCCTTAATGCGATATTAAGGGCCGTATTAAACTTGCAGTGAGATTTTGTTCTGTGTGGAAGGTATAATAACTTTGAAATGAAGAACAGCTATTAATACGTCATTACTTTGTTTTTGGTTTTGTCCAGTGCGTGCAGTGATTGTCTGCTATTAATTGATACACTATATATCTCTTTTTATTAAAACTGTAGTAGTGAGTTATAAAAAAAACAATGGAATACATATCATAAAACTTGACTAATTTGAGCTTAACCAAAAAGAAAAACTCCCTTGCTATAAGATGAGAAATATCAAGTTTATCGTTTTAGAACCTCCGCAATTAAAAGAGAGATGAGCAGCAACATAAACGTAAGAGTCTTTTGATTGACTGGATATTTCCCTTTAAATCGTGCGCTATTTTTGTCTCATTGACGCATACCTCAAATCTTTTTTAAATGTGTCGTTGGGTTGCTGTCTCTTTGACGTTTACCTCAAATCTCTGTTTAATTTGTCGATGGATTGCCGTCTTTTTGACGTATACCCCCAAATCTCCGTTTATTCATCAGTTAATAAATTAAAGATCTTGGTAAGGACCAGTGACATAAAGTATGTAAAATACACTTACCAACTAATTTACAGCAAATTAAAACAAACACGATTTTAGATCCCACTATTGTAAACATTGCAGATAAATGATCCAAAACCTATTAATTTGAATAAATACATGATTGCATTATAAGCAATTCACTGTGCATAGCGTGTCCATAGACAAAAGAATCAGTCATTATACAAATGTATACAATATTAAATTAAGTTATATTGTTAAAGTAAACAGATATAACCTTTCATTTTTATTCATACTTTCAGTATTTTAGATAAACAGTCACTGATTGGTTAACAGTACAAAACAATGATAATACATGTAGTCTCAATATGCCTGAAATATTTGCAACTGGACGTTAATGGAACAACACTTAATCAATGAACATTATGTAAAATGTAATTGCTTACTTGATTTATTTAAATGCATTAAATTACCCTTGTTTTACATTGCAGGCAACCAAATGTCTTGTGTAATCCTTTACATGTACAGTTTTTGTAATATGTTTTAAAAACCCGTGTCAAAACAAAATCTTTTTTGTTGGAATGAATCATGCTGATAGAAAATGAATATTCTTTTATTTACAAATGTCTGAAAGTCATCTTTATACCCGGACAGAAAATAAATGTTCTTTAAAATCTGTCGGATACCACAAAAAAATATCTGATAATTACCACAATATTCTGAACAGATATATCATGTTGAGGAGGGGTATTTGCGAAAAATACCAGTCGAGAGAATATTAAATTTCGCGAGCCGTAAGGCGAGGGAAATTCATTCTCAAGACTGGTATTTTTCGCAAATACCCCTCAAGAACATGCTATATCTGTTTAATTACACCGAATGTTAACGTTCAAAAACGCATTGATGATCGTGACGTTACAAGCGTCCAGTCGGATAGAGTATTTTTTGGCAAATACCACGGCAGAGAGGGTAAAAAAGGCATATCCTTTTTGCATATACCCCGGCGGCGTTAAAAAATGAACGATATTCATTTGATAACAGTAAATTGGTGAAAAATACACTGGCTATTAACCAATCAAAACCCAGGATTCTTACATAAGGTGTAATTACACTTATAATACAACCAGTCCAACCAAAAATGTCAGCATTGTATGCGTTGTTTATTCCAAATATCATTTGCACTGTAGTTGTATATGATTACAAAAAAAATACATTTATTTGCCAAATTTTGTCACTGTCTTAGTCTAACAGCACATCTGTCACACACGGATCTGCCCGATTTTGTTACTGTCTTAGTCTAACAGCATATCTGTCACACACGGTTCTGCTAGATTTTGTCACTGTTTTAGTCTAACAGCACATCTGTCATACAAGGATCTGCCAGATTTTGTCAATGTCTTAGTCTTACAGCACATCTGTCACACACGGTTTTCTGCCAGATTTTGTCACTGTCTTAGTCAACAGCACATCTGTCACACACGGTTTTCTGCCAGATTTTGTCACTGTCTCAGTCTAACACCACATCTGTCACACACGGTTTTCTGCCGGAGTTTGTCACTGTCTCAGTCTAACACCACATCTGTCACACTAGGTTTTCTGCCAGATTTTGTCACTGTCTTAGTCTAACAGCACATCTGTCACACACGGTTTTCTGCCAGATTTTGTCACTGTCTTAGTCTAACAGCACATCTGTCACACACGGTTTTCTGCCAGATTTTGTCACTGTCTAAGTCTAACAGCACATCTGTCACACACAGTTTTCTGCCAGATTTTGTCACTGTCTTAGTCTAACAGCACATCTGTCACACACGGTTTTCTGCCAGATTTTGTCACTGTCATAGTCTAACAGCACATTTGAACACACGTTTTTCTGCCAGATTTTGTCACTGTCTTAGTCTAACACCACATCTGTCACACACGGTTTTCTGCCAGATTTTGTCACTGTCTTAGTCTAACAGCACATCTGTCACACACGGTTTTCTGCCAGATTTTGTCACTGTCTTAGTCTAACAGCACATTTGTCACACACGGGTTTCTGTCAGATTTTGTCACTGTCTTAGTCTAACACCACATCTGTCACACACGGTTTTCAAACATAAGGCTTGATCATGCAAATGCAGTATATATCACTGAATTTATTGCTCAAGGATCGATGTATTTAGTACATATTATATCTGCCATGATTGTTCAATTCATTTTTGAACTACATAGTCTGTATATTCTGTAACATTTACAAACACCGAGGGTCGTTCGTACTATTGCAATCTTATCATATAATGTATAACTAAACAATTTTTAAGTCAGAAATTTCGTTATAAAAATAACTTTAACTCTACTGAATTTTTATAAAGATACTATGATTTGGTTTGGTTGTATTAGTAAAAAAATATCATTCAAAGGAAATATCACATCCTGATTTGTACAATGGTGTTGCTTATAGAGCTTTTAAATCAAGATACGATCCATACAAATCTGTTGGTCCCTTGAATAAACTCATTCTAAAAGATTATCAATTAAGCATTATAGTAAGATCTTTTTATCGTTTTATCGGCGTTTAGTTTTAATAGTTTAATACGTAACTAAATTTTACATATTTTACTATCAAAAGTCCTACATCCTGTCGCTAATTAAATTTTGGCATTGTACGAGAAAAAAGATTTTCCGAGATTGCTTATGACGTATTAACCTAAATCTATTGGAGGTTTACTGATTGGTGTATAAGTCTGGGTTTATCTATTTGATGAAATTGGTCTTTGAACTTTGAAATAACGGCGAATACTCTCAGATCGATACGATTTCTTCCGTCTTTTTTGCTATTTATTGTGTGCCAAGTACAGATCTGACAACTCCAGCCCTTTCCAACTGATTTTGAAAGTATGTTCTCATGCTGTGGTGTTACACCACTGTCCACGGTTTAGGAAGGGTTGTGCGCTTACAAAACCGTTTAACCCCGCCACGTTCATTATGTGCATGTCCCAAGCCAGGAGCCTTTTATCCATTGTTTGTCGTTGTTTACTGTCTGATATGATTGTTTTTCGTTTATTGTAATATTAATCAGGTCGTTAGTTTTTTCTGTTTTGATTTGGTACACATTTTGTCGTCGCGAGGCTTTTGTAGCTTACTTCTAGTATACGGTATTTGTTTTACTCATGGCTAAAATCCTTGTGGTTGACTATAATTGGTAGCATCAGCTTGTTCTTTTGAATAGTTGTCTCATTGGTATCATACCAGATCTCCTTATTTTCATAGGATGAGATGGTTTCTGGTTCATATTTGTTCTCATTCTTCAGTCGTGTAAAACATTTTAAAACTTATAATCTACATTGTAAATGAGGATTATTCAAGAAACTCGTTTTATAAGATACTTTTAAACCAAAACTGTTTGCTTTTGTTTTTTGTTTTTTGTTGTTTTTTTTGGGGGGGGGGTCAGTTTTCATGATGAAAAAAGGGAGATCAACAATAATTGTAGTAAGCACAATCCCATCCTCTTGTCCTTGATTGTCACATCACCGAATGATACTGATCACTGAATGTGTACTTTAATACCATGTACAAAATGACAGGTTCCACCCTATAGATCACCCTCGGTTTTTTATTGAGTTCGTATTGCTTAGTCTTTAGTTTTCTATGTAGTGTTTTGTAGACTTTTTTGTCTTTTCGTCTTTTTTCGTTTTTTGTTTTTGTTTGGCGATGGCGTTATCACTCTCTCTCACTTATGAATTATGAAAGTTCATTGGGTATCTTCTGTCTCTTTTCTTTAACACAAGTTTGGTCAACTAACTGTTCTCGACAAATGATTGCCCTATGACAAATTGGCTGTAGCTTCCTATTTAGTGTAACATGTCTCATTGTATGTGCAACGTTGATGGCATTGGCATTTCATGATACGAAAACTGTTGTTTGGAATCGGAGATTCCCAAAAAATTGACGATCAAAGTATTTAAAAGGTGTGAATAAAATTATCGATTTAATGAACTTCCAACATTTATTCTACAAAAAGTACACAAATTATGTTTTAGACGATTTATGATTTATTTGTTAGTTCTAAAAGACCACCAAACTTCACTAAATTTGTTATCACATTGGAGTGTTGAAATAAATCAAAGTTCAATGATCTCTTCTGCAAATTATTTCACATAGTGTAGCACTCGCATCACATAGCATTTTTACATTATCCAAAAGACAACGGTGTTGTATTGATTTGTTGTATCAAAGCTGATTTAAAAGATTGTGAATCCAAAAACGGATTCTCGTTAGGTATGATTTATCTCCAGCTTCTCGTTTGTGTTGAGATGTATCTTCGATACTGTCGTCTGTAGCTTCGTGCAGATCTAGTCTGCAACAGTTAGTTTCATAGAAGGTTTGGATAACGACTCCTAATATGACAACCATAAGTAGACATCCGAGAACTATACCAATAACAACACCAACTAGCCTAAAAAAAAAGAATTTCCCTTATTGTATCATGTAAAAGGACATTCTACACATCTTGTGAAATTTTGCTTTATATATTTACGCCAAAAGAAAATGTAGGAACATCTAGCCCAAAATTCTTTATACTACAAAAAAAAAGTATTATTAAGTTTCAGCGAGTACATCAAAAGCTAGAATTTCAAAATTTAAAGAAAATCCGAATAAAAATCCATTTTTCATTCGAATTTTAAAAAGGTCTATTTAAATTTTGTTTCCTTGAAAATCGGTCGATGCAATATAATGATGAACTTTTGACACCATTGTTTTCAAAGAAGGTGATATGAACACACATGTTTAATCCTTTCAATTGAAAATGGCAAAACTGTATTAAACAACCATCAAATAAGACCTTCTGAATTCAAATACTGTAAATTGACAAAATTCTGAGTTCATTAATTATTGCAACTGTTAAAAAATGAACAAATTGAGGGATTAATCATTATTTAAAGGTTTAAGGAAATGCTGCATACAAATAATGCTGCAAAATTTTAAAGTGCGAGAACCTGTCCCATCGCAATTTTCCCAATAATAACAGTTAGGGTTAATGTCTCTTGGAATTATTTTTCACATGGGCTTATTGTGCTAATTTAAAAAGTATTTCAATCTTTACTCAAATTCTTTACTCAAATTCACAGTATCATAGCTCCAAAATTTGTGATCCTTATAATATTTGTATAATATCCCCGCCACATTGGTTTCGGTGTTATAGAAGAAAATTCTTT